GGGCATAGATATTTACAATTGTTAGATCTTCTTGTTGGATAGACCCTTTAAGTAGGATATAGTGTCCTTCCTCATCTCTTATTATAGTCCTTGGGTTAAAATCTAATTTGTCTGATAGAAGGATTGCCACCCCTGCTTTCTTTTGGTATCCACTAGCATGGTAAATGGTTTTCCACCCCCTTAATTTCAATCTGGGGGTGTCTTTGGGTCTAAAATGAGTCTCTTATACGATGGACACTGAAAAACAAACTGAGGGTTCTAGAGCGGAGGGGGGTGGGAGGATGGGTTAGCCTGGTGATGGGTATTAAAGAGGGCACATTCTGCGTGGAGCACTGGGTGTTATGCACAAACAATGAATCATGGAACACTACATCAAGAACTAATGATGTAATGTATGGTGATTAACATAACAATAAAAAATTAAAAAACAAATAGTTTATTTCCATGATCGATTGGATATTTTTAAGGTCTGAAATATCCCTTCCACAACTAGAAAGCCAAAGATATTATGTGCATTAGAATAAGGGTTTGTCACTTGTAAGCATCATTTAGGGCCTGGGAATTATTTGGGCCATAAGCTGGGGCTCCCCCATGTATTCAGCTACTAGCATTCAGATTCTAAAGGATGCTTGTTCCCCTCACTCTACTAACATCTTTCTCTCTCTGGTCACCAAAAGCCTCCTATTGGTGAAGTAAAGCTCGTATTCTCAATCCTCATTCTATTTGACCTCTGTAAGGATCTGACATTGTGGTCCATCCCCTCATTCTTGACTCTCAACAACTCCAAGTACTGGGTTCCTTATCTGAACATCATGGAAAAGACCACTTCCTCCTAGGATTGCTGCAAGAAATAAGTAATGATTATAAAAGCATTCTGTTAAAATGGAAGTGCTTTTCAGATGTTGGGTATTATCTCCCTTTTTTTAAAAAAAAAATTTATTTATTTATTTGACAGAGAGAGACACAGTGAGAGAGGGAACACAAGCAGGGGGAGTGGGAGAGGGAGAAGCAGGCTCCCTG